AAAGTTGCTATTTTAAATCTCCCCTGTGAGCAGAATAAGTGTTAGATTTTCAAAAAAAATGATATCAAATGAAAGGGAAATATCTAAGGTTTCAATACAAAAATATATTATTTTGATTTGTTAATATTTGAAAAAGTTATGGGAGTTTTAAGTAGAAAAAACATTCCGATAGAAGGTGATTTTTATCGCAAACATTACTTTTTTTTTAGTTTTTGACAGCCATTTGCACATAGAAGATAAAGTGTCGGAACAAATTTTTTTTTTCATTTTATGGTACATAAAATAAGCTTTGATTTGATATATGTTTTAAAGACGCAGTTATTCCAGAACACTTTCAAAAGTTAAGTTGAAAAAAATCTATTTTTTATACAATTTATGAAGTTTTGAACACCCCCTATATAAGGGGAAATTGTCTAATTTTAATAAAAAGTATGTCAAATGAAAGATGTACTTATAATATATTTAGAACAAAAAAATTTGTACTGATACATACATTTTTCGAAAAGTTATAGCAGTAAATTCACGATACATATTTGTTTTTAATGTTCTATTAAAACGTTCTACAATAGATGCTTTAATTGTACTATAGGTCAAGTAATGATTGATTTTATATTTTTTTACAAGCTCATTAAAATGTGAATTAAAAAATTCGTTTCCTCCATCAGTGTGCAAAAGCCGTGGTTTATAAATTTTAAAATTTTAGTCATTGCTTTGGTAACAGTTTTTCCAGATTTATTATTAAGCGGAACCGCCCAAGCATATTTTGTGAAACAATCGATCACGCAAAGTATATACTTATAACCCCTATTTAATTTTGCGAGAGGAATAACTTCTATTAAATCAGCTTCCCAAAGATCGTTTTCACCTTGAACGTTAACCCTTCTCCTAGGGAAATTTTTTCTACCCGGTTTGTGTAATTCAAACGCTATATCTGATTTAGACATGTTTAGGCAATTGTTTAATTTATCCGGCTTCTAAAAGTTCTTCGAAAATCGATATTATTTCATTGTCTAAGCCGGGTTACCAGAGTTTTTTGAAGACAGAAGTAACTTCAACCTTGACACTAGTTGGTTTGGATCATCCCAAAAAGTATACGTTTCTTTATAGTTTGTAACGTTCACCGATAACTAACCGTGAGGTTATCACCGATGAAGCACATAAACCCAAACGAAGTTGGATTCACTACTAGCCGAGGCTCTACCAGACCGGTGCATAGTGAAATTTTAAATATAACTGACACATTTGTTGTTTTAATTTACTAAGTTTTGACCTTAACTCTAGGGGAAAAGGAATTAAAAACTAGTAGACAAGTAGTATAGGCGATGATGTTCTATTTTATATAATGAGTTTAAATAAAATAATGATGCCCAAAGTACAATAAAATAAATGTCAGTTACAAATGTTCAAAATAAAATAAAATTACAAATTCTTTTATATAACATATTTCAAGTCACAGTTAAAATTATTACAAATTATTAAATGAGCTAAAGGACAAATACAATAAAAGGGACATGAGAGAGAAAATAATCTCTGACACTGCTGTATTGACTATGTTCGATTTGACCAAGGGACAGGATCGTACTTTCCAATATTGAATAAAATAAAATGGTTATCATTGCAATAATGCTCAAACTAAGAACTTGACATCGGTCAATATGGATCTAGGCCTTTTATATCGAGCCTTGAGACTGCTAAGCACGTCTAGATTGGTCCAACACATGTGAGGTTTTATTACATTCAACATAACAAAAACCCAGCACAGGGACGTCGCGGCATAGTGGTGGTGACGTGGCATAGTTGGATCAAGTATAATGATATCTGACAGTGAATAAAATCACTATCAAAAAAAAACGCTTCGATGCAAATCTTTAGATAGTGATTAATTTAAAAAAATTTGTGGATTATTCCAAAAGCTTCATAAACTGCTAGTTCCTTATTAATATCCTGATTAAGATAAAGTACGAGGGTGAATCAAATATTAACGGGACTTTTCTTTTTAACGCTTCTGAGGTGAAGTGAGCAACGTGACATCGTGATATATGTTGAGTGGGAATGTGAAGTGGAGGGGAGTAAGTTGGTTTGACTCGTCCGAACAGATCGGCCGTCAGTAGCATCATGTCTGAGCAAGAAGTTCACACGTCTGTTGAGCAACGTATCATTATTAAGTTCTTGTCGCGGGAGGGCGTAAAACCTGCTGAAATTTTGCGAAGATTGACCAAACAGTTCGCTGAAAAAACACTTTCAAGGACCCGAGTTTACGACTGGCACAAACAATTTTCCGGTGGCCGAAAGTCAGTGCAAAATGAGACCCATGCACGCCGACCACGAACAAGCATCACTGAGAAGAACATTGATGCGATCCGTGAGTTGATTGAAGAAGACCGCCGCCTTACAATATCGGAAATTGCTGCACATGTCGGAATATCGTTTGGGAGTGCCCAATCCATCATTTCAGATGATTTGGAGTATCGGAAAGTGTCGGCAAGGTGGGTTCCTCGCCTCTTGACGGAAGATCAAAAAGCAAACCGTTTTGCAGTGTGTGAGAGACTTCTGGCACGATATCGAACTGAGGGGGATGATTTTTTGAGACACATTGTCACCTGTGATGAGACGTGGGTGCACCATTATACCCCAGAGTCTAAGCAGGCAAGCATGGAGTGGCGAAATCCTGGAGAAGCAGCACCACGCNGAAAACCTGGAGAAGCAGCACCACGGAAAGCCAAGACTCGTCTTTCTGCCGGTAAAGTTCTTGCGACGATTTTTTGGGATTGCAGAGGCATACTGCTCATCGATTTTCTCCATGAACGGCGTACAATTAATGCTGCGTACTACTGCCAATTTCTCGATAAAGTGAAACTAGCCTATCGACAAAAAAGGCGAGACATGCCTATACGAAGTGCAATTTTACTCCATGACAACGCTCGGGCCCCACACAGCTGCATTAACCCGAGAAAAATTAGAAGAAATTCATTGGGCAACATTGGAACATCCGCCTTACAGTCCTGATCTGTCTCCGTGTGACTACCACATGTTTGGACCACTTAAAGAAGAACTGGGAGGTCACCGCTTTGACGACGACGAAGGTGTAGAAACGTTCGTGCGCAATTGGTTACAGACGCGACCAGTTTCATTCTTTGATGACGGAATCAAAAAGCTTCCAATTCGATGGGAAAAATGTGTAAATAGAAAAGGAGATTATATAGAAAAATAAAGTATGTTCATAATTTTTGTTACTGTACTTACAAAATTTCTAAAAATCAAGTCCCGTTAATATTTGATTCACCCTCGTATGTCGAATGAAAAAGGGATTATTAAAAAATAGTATTTCCCATAAAAAAATTATATTGATCAATACACTTTTCAATAAGTTATAGCATTATAAAGTTAAAAATGTAAAATACAAAATCGAAAATTTTCACACAAAAATAGCATTCGGTAGCCATTTTCACCCTGAAGATAAAATAAAGTCCGAAATTTTTTTTTACCATTATAAAGTATATTTTATTAGCTTTAATTTAAGATATATATAAAAGTGTCAGACCTTCCGGAACACTTTCAAAAGTTAAGTTGAAAAAATTAATTTTTTGTGAAAAAGTTGTCATTTTAAATCCTCCCCTGTGGACAGGTAAAAAGTCAAATTTATAAAAAAAATATACCAAATAATAAGTAAAGACATCATGCGTCTATATAAAAAAAAATTATATTGATATGTTTGTTTTTANCGAAAATGATATTTTACAATAATTTACCAATAGTCAATGAGCAAATATGCCAAGAGATCAGATAAAATAATCATATTAAAATATTTACATTATATTAATGTCATTTTTATAGAAACCTCGTGACAATGCACGAATAGAGGAAACAATGAAATGGACAAAAATAAAGAAAAACGGGAATGCGGTACAAAGTTACCAAATTATATTGTCATGACGTCCAGGCCGTAGCCAACAAATGAATCTTCACCCATGGCTCGATCGCCAGGACCAAAAATAACAGTTAGGCAGCCATGAGATGTTCAATATACGCAAAAATAAAATTAAGTAGAAGGCTGGAGATAGAATCAAAACGACCGGCCAAAACACATTTTAACAAATCGGCCAGACCACTTGACGGCGACGACACACATGGACCGGAAGGGAAAACAAACGCCGACATCAGTGTATGCCTCGTTGACAGACATCCGGGACCGGTTGAATAATTGACAGTACTGTAGTGGTCAGCTGGGCGTTTTGTTATCACAATGATATTTTGTTATGAACGATTGTACAACAGATAAAATAGAAAAAGGGAATGTGCGACTGCATTATTTAGGAAAATTTAATTATGTTATTACTGAATTATAATGTTCAAAATTAGTTTTTATTCACCACGAAATTAATACTCTCTAGACAATAACACCGCATTACCAATTGCCGAGCAGTTACACTTAATTATATGATGTTCACAATAACTAATTTAATTAACTCATGTGTTAAATAGTACTATTAATGATAGGTCAATTTTTTACGTCACAAGTTTTGTAAAAGTGTTTTAGAAAGCCCACCTCCAGTAGTAAACAATTACCTATAATATTACTATATTTTTTACCGCCTTTATTTATATGATTTTTATCGGCTTTCAAGTGAGCTGATGTTGTTATAAGAATTAGTTTATAAACCTCTAAGTCCTCATTTTTATAATCTTCCGGATGTTTATTAAATATAAGTTGAATTAAGCCTCGTGTTAGTGGATAAGGATTGTTGTCTATAAAGAGCAAACCATTTTCCCAATCAAAAATTACATCTCTTGATTTTCCGTACGATATTATTTCTCCTTTATCCCCTAGTTTTGGTCCATACAATTTATCTAATTGCTCTGAATTAATCTATTGTTTTTTATTTTTTCCTATATATCGATTTAATTTTAATAATAAATCATCCTCTTGCTTTATAGAGGATAAGTTAACCAAAAACAATTTATCATTTCTAAAATCATTAGGTGTTTTATAAAAATAAAAAATGGATAGATTTTATCTGAATATATTAGAAAAATATACGGATGAATCGCCTATAGAGGATTTACATTATCGTTCTTATTTACCGTTTTCAACTACAGTACTATCAAACGGTGATCAAATACGAATAGCCGTACAAAATACCGATGCATACACTCTATTTTGTGAAAGCTTTATATACATTGAAGGTGAAGTAAAAGTTAAATCAGAGACTGTGGGTAAAATAGGTATTGCGAACAATGGATTAGCTTTTTTATTTGATACAATATCTTACGAAATAAATGGAGTAGAAGTTCAAAAAGTTAAAGATCCAGGAACAACGAGTTTAATGAAAGATTATTGCTCTTATTCATTGAATTATATAAATAGTCTTCAGAACGCTTTTTGGGATCCAAACTCAACGTTCAACGATTATTCTAGTACGGACTTTAAATTTTCGGGATGTATTCCATTGACACACTTATTCGGATTTGCCGAAGACTATAGGAAAAGATTAATTCAAACTAATCATTAGCTTATAATGAATAGAACTTTAAATGACAAAGCAGTGTTGAGAGCAACAATTAATAATGGTATTACATGGGCTAACGATGAGGCAAAAAACTTTTAAAATCTAATGTTACTTTAACAAAAGTTATATGGAAATTACCAGTCGTGTGGGTTAATGACCGTGAAAAATTAAAACTGTTGAAAATTGTTGAAAACCGTAAAGATATTTATTGTGCGTTTAGAAATTGGAATCTATGTGTCTATCCAGAGTTACCTACAGAGATAACTAGTTGGATGGTTAAATCAACTTGGAACATAGACAGACCGCGTTATACAATAATAGCTTTTCATACGGCTAAATCTAGTGAATCGGGAGATCGCACACAAAAATTCGATTCATGCTCTCTAGTTAATCTAAAGGTGCATTTAAATTCATTCGAGTACCCCTATGAGAACTTTAATGAAAATTTCGATAAAAAATTAATAACTTTGATCTATCAAAACTATATCAATTTCCAACAAAATTATTATGAGAGAAAAAAATCTAAACCTTTATTCAATAAAGAAGAATTTTTAAAATATGGCCCTCTTTTTTGCATTGATTGTACACGTCAAAAAGATGACGTGAAAGCCTCAACCACAGACTTAAGAATTGATTTTGAATCATCCGTCAAATTTCCACCGTCCACTACAGCTTACTGTTTGATAATTCATGATCGTATATTACAATACAATCCATTTAGCGGTGATGTTCGAAGGTCATAAAAACTAATCAACTTTTTTTTCTTATTATTTCTTATTTATTTTAAATAATAGTATAATTTAATACAATAATTATTTTATTTTAAACTAAACAAGTTAGGGAAATCGCATTTTATAAAAACTTATAGGTATTTATAAAAATACTTATCACATAAAATATGTACATTTAATACATTATATTATGAAATTATAAAAATTATGTGTACTTTAGTAATGGATAATAAAATTTGTATTCATTATTTTTCATTTTTATTTTCCATTTTCATTTTTCATTATTTCACTATAGTAAAGGTCGCTAAAATATATCAACATACGTTTATATTAATAAATATATAGTATTCATAATGATTAAAATACGTACTTAAGCCGATAATAACCGTAAGCATGCGTGTTTATTCGGTTTGGTAAAATAACACGTTTGTCATCCATACGATTCAGAGTCATTTTCATTGTTTTTATAGTAAACACATCATGTTTAAACGACCTGATTGAAGTATTTTCTCTATATGGTGTATATGTACTATACTTAGGAACCGGACCTGTTGGGTTGCTATGAATATTTTTTATAACCTCTGCATCGCATACAATAGCCGCTTCTTTAGCTTTATTTATTTTTTCGGATGTAACGATATCTTCATCAGCAAACAAACATTGTTTTGAGTCGTCCACGGTTAAATGGTTTTTAATTACATGTCCCCGTATACCTTTTGCCTTAATCTTTTCCATACCCTCAACATCATAACCATAGGCTTTCGGTTGAAGGCTTATGAATTCTAACAAGCTTTTTTCATCACACTCATCAGACCATAAACCTGGTACTCTTTTAAGTAAATTTTGAGAGGTGACGACTTGGGCCACACAACGGATTGTGGAGTCGCCACCCTCATGGTTCCCTTGCAAAAGGAAATCGGATCGCCAACCACTTAGGCGAGGGTCTTGATCATAAAAAGAACAACACCCGGACCATAAGTGGATTTAAGAAAAAAAAAAACATAAAAAATAATAGGAAAATCAATAATATGCACTTTGATGAAACAAAGTGGATTAAAAAAAATTATATATACATATACTAAAATATAATGTGTTATTGTAGACTATTATACGCTGATACCTTGTAAATATAACAAATAGGTTTATTTGATGTCACCAGTGGTGGACATACTTTAGTATGTCGAAGACCGTTACCTTAAGACTAGAGAGAATTATTTAAAGGAAAAAAAAATAAGATACACGTGAACATTGAAGATATTCACGCAATAAAAAGATTTTTGTTGATTAAGAAAATTAAGGGGATTTTATTAAATTATTAGTTAAGTTAATAGTGGACAAAACCCGAAGGCAAAAACCACTCTGCAAATAAAGGGACAAAAGAGAAAAAAAAAAACAATTATTAAGACAAAAAAAAAATTGTAACCTACAACTTTTAAATATTACACATGAAGTGTCTTCCGAATCGGAACAAGTCCGTGTACTCCTGTATAATTTTTGTAATCTGACCGGCCGGACCGTACTTGGGCACTGCGGGAATAATATTTATATATATGTATTAAATGTACGTGACACATCACTGACCAATAACTTTATAAACAGCAATGATAAAGTCCATATATAGTTCATAACAAAATAAATTTACAACAGAAAAAGGCTCAATACATTATATTAAATAAAAATAAAAAAACAATATACGATACCCAGTCCTGGATGGGACTCATCCTAAGATGGGGATCTCGGCCCGGAAATAGCCGACGCCTGGTTAAATCAATACATGATTTTTACACAACGAACACGAAAAAAAAAACTATTATTGGCTGCACGCACACAGCAAAATATACCACGACGGTGGTTCAAAGGGAAGAGAGCACAAAAAATTCTTACACACCTGGCGAGACACAACGATGACGACGATTACGTTTGGGAGAGGGTATCGGCTTAACAATTTACAAAATATAATACAGATAAAAATATGAACAATATTAAAATTATACAGGTATTGACAGTGGTGGCTAGTGTATGTGTCATATAGGGAACGATTATTAAACTGATAAAGAATATTGTGTGTATAGCGTTCACCTTGACAGAAACAGTACAGTTCTCTGATTACACGGCCGGATATAACGTACGCGCGCCCATTAGCAAAGCAAAACAGTGAATCTATCTATATCATAAAATTCATATTTTGTTACGTTACAATTTAAAAAACAAGAATGGTTTGGCGGTAGGGACGATGTATCGAAATGTTTCAATAACTCCGGGTTCTCTTTGACTTCCGCATAAAAATCTTTAGTGAGTACATAATACACTAAAGAATCTGAATCATAAATTATCACATTTTAGACAATTATTATGATTAATATTATTATTATTATTTATTACCTGTATCACCATACATAAGCATTATTCGATCTTTGAAATGTTTTTTCATGAAATTATATTAGAAGTCGTACACCAAAGTTTTTGAAATTTCCAAGATACAGAATCCTATGTATACGGGTTTTGTGAATTCAATAATTTTATTGTCCATAACAAATATAGATAGGTTTTCGTTATATGATACGCAATGATTAAAAGTATGTTTTTTAATTAATTTAGCAGCATGTTTTGGATCGCTTACTAGCTCCATTTTTTTCTGAATTCCACACGTTCTATACACTTGCCTTAATAATAAAAAAAATATATAATATTAATATAATTTAGTAATTAGCTATAATATTATTTTCGTATTCACCAAAAACAGAATTAACCATGAGTTTGAAAAAACCTTTTTTAAAATCATTTTGAGCAGCCTGTCTCATTACTGTATTAATTTTAATATATTTATAAAGCCAAGGGGACTGATTGAATTCTAACACTTTATGCACCTGTAATTATTATCATTGTTATTATTTAAATATAAATACTATTTTAATTTTTTAATGTTACCTTTTCAACTATAAGACCATTTGCCATGGCTTGCTTTAAATTTAAATAATGTACAACATAGTTTTCTTTTCTTTCTAAAGTCGTAAGTAATTTTTTATTTCTCGAGTTAGGAGGTCATTTGGTCTCTGGAAGGAATGGAATTTCATCATGGATGTCATGAAGTTCTTTAGGATATGCAATAGTCACTTCTAAAGCGAGCCCTATGGGTGAATCATTAGGCAACTCGCGAACTCTTTGCAATACAGATTCTTGGTCTTGTTCGATCCATTTAAACCCACCGTATAACAAAAATTGCGACATAGCATATCCGTATAGATTATTTACATCTAAATAAATAATTTCAGACCTGGGTTTAGCATCATCATAACCCTTCGCTTTTGTATTATTCGCCTTAGCATATTTCAATACTGATGCTGTTAAACCACCTATAATGCCTCTTGAAATAAAAATTTGTTTTTCATAGTCAGACAAGAGTTCGAGCTTTATTCCTGTATGAAGTAACATTGCATCGAAAGAAAGTCCTGGGACGGTATAATAATAAGATGCCTCAAATTTATATTTTTCAAAATACAATCTTTTAAAATTTGTAAAAATATCAGCCAATAATGTTATATCAGTTTTTAAACCAGTATTCACCTAAATTTTTAAATTTGAAGTGTTCCCAGACTTTTTGAGTGTGTTCATAATCAGTGTCATTACAATGAGTTTCTGTTAACTCATTATAAAAGTTTTTTTTTTCAGGTAATTGTATAATATCTAGCTTATCAAAATTATCTGTAAATGAATGTAGATATACTCCTTTTCGTGTAACTAAATCCAATTCGTCTGCTGAAAAAACTTTAGCTGTTTCTACAAATAGATTTTTTTCAGCAGCATGTAAATTTTCAGTCAGTGAGGCTAAACTAGTGGCCATGAACCTAAATGTGTCGATAAATCTTATACTGAATTTATTCGACACATACTTCGAAGAACTAATATATTTTTCTTCACTTGATGGTATTAATGATATTCTATTTTTAATTAATCCTAATTGTGTTACAATAAAATGAGCATCATAGTTGCTCATGTTATGTAAATAACACGGAACAAATGTTGGTGTTTTCAGTTTAAGATTACAATTGTTACACAGAGTGTATCTAAATTTACCATTCAAGTGATTATGGTCCGCCACTTTACAATTAATCTCACTGAATTCTAATTTACATAAATAAAAATTTTGTTTCATGGTGTGTTTCATAATCTCTTCAGCCGTCATTAAATTGGCACATTTGTTTTAAGAAGCTCTTCGATTTTTAATGCTTCGTTACTAATATCATTAACATAACGCGCAATAATATCCTCAGG